AACACTACAGGCTTCTAGTCTACAGCTAATGGCTAGCCTACAGCTAATGATGTTCATGGGCTTTGGGACCTTAACCAGAGAGCCGATAGGCTCCAACCGAGAGAAACTTCGAACCACGGGCTTTTATTCCTCTTGATCAAGTCATCGCTTGGGCACCTCTCCTCTTCGTCCATCCACACTCCTGGCGCACAAGCAAAGCACGCGCCGGAGCCGGTGGGCTGGCATCGGGGCCTGGTGTGTGAAATAATAGTCAGAACATTGCTTCAAACTAATTTTCAAGTTAGTGTCTACTTACGCACTCACGCGGTAATACAAGGCGTCTCATATTGCATTTTATCTGTATTGTTACAGCTTGGCTCCCCGGATCCGGCTGCAAGTCCGATGGCAAAGTCTCCGCAGGTAAACTTGTTTCTTTTAATTGCTATTGTAACTTCGTTAAACAATACATTTCCACACCCTTTTCTCCACCAGCTGGATAACTTGATCAGTGCAGACACAGGAATTACCTTGGTCTCTTGGAAGATACTATCTGGGACACGCCCTACGTTTGCAGAATACCAATATTATTTATTAGGGTAAAGCACTCGATAAGCATCCATCTAGGATGATTCAAGAACGAATCCACACAATGCTTGGCACACAGCACTGACTGTGTCACATTACGCATACTCTGGGGCGGTCAGCCCCAGTTGGCTTGGTTGCAATCGAAGTAAGGCAGCTGGCATACGCAGTTTAGCTTGAGTATTACTGTGACCACTAGTCCTTTGTATACAACTTAATACAGTATGGCCGCACGATGTAACAAAACTTGCTGTTGACTAAGATCAAATAGCATGCTCAATGCGGTCAACCGTACAGTTCTGCTTAACATTCTAGTTCATATATTTTTCTTGTGAGATTTTTGAATACACACTCTGTGCCGTCAACTCAGGACGGGATTTATTGGAGGAGGTTTAGAGGCAAGTAGCTGTCCTACGTTACCTCCAGCTCTAGCACGGTTTGGTTTGTTGCAAATCTTCCCAAGGCGATTGTCCCTGGGAAAACTGGTTACTCTCGGTCGTGCGAGAGACATTCTCTTAATTTCTGTCGAGTGCCAATCTTCAATGATCCGTTCGGGGTAAAACAGTCCGCACAGCCAAATTGCAGTGGGTGGTTTCAAGAATTATCGGCTATTTCACATATGCTTGCATACTGATGGCTTGAAAAGGTAGAGAAAGTGATGACTAAATCTTTTCAAAATTACTGTCGCATCAATACTGACGTCCGAGGTAGTGCTTACTTTATTTCAAGCATTATGAGCACTAATACTGATTTCTTCTAACTGTGAGAACACTGGCCAAAGGGTATTGATATTGACCTCAAATGTCGCTTAGTCAAGAACGCGAAGAGTACTACTGTGACCACAGAGGTGCTATGACAACTACTTGGTGTCACAAAAGTGATGCGTTCAGATGGTCGGGCCATGTCGCCTTATGTTAATTGCACAAGTGGGATTACATCGGGGTAGCTGTAGTGACGAGGTGTGTAGATAAACACAAACCAAGGATGATCAAGTCAGTTCCGCAGCTAGGCACTTACTAGGCAAGAAGTTGCACGAGTTTGTGCAAGTGCCTAGTCTTTCAACTCAGCACTGATCAAAGAGAACCTTTCCTTATTTTCTAACTTTTAGGATAGCCTGTCGTTTGAGGAGGACAGTTTTTCTCCGGTCATCAGGAAAGGCAATCACTTATGACTGGGACTGTTCCACTTCCCAACTTACACCCTAGGGTTCCACTGCACTTTGTTCTCGAAAGTAAAGGATACGGTACATGCTCGGTTCTTGTTCTGTCTCTTGCAAATGTGTCTACAGTCGGTATATCAGTGTTGTAAGGCTGGAATAACATTGCCTTCACACAATGCTCGCTTTTGTGACTGTCAAGCTTAAGCAAACTTTCGCTTGCTTTTGAAATCTCCGCACACTTAACTTACACAGAATTGTGATAATGACCACATTGTTCCCTGATATCACGGCGACAACCAGAAGCAGCCATAGCTCGTTTGCTTCTGGTTTCTTAGTTTTGTTACTAACATGATATTAAAGCACCTATTCCTCCGTGATTCATGTGGAATAAGACTACTTATGACCTGCTGGTAGATTTGGATCCCACGGAAAGTGTTACTATTTTGTGGGCAAGCCCAAGTTGCGACGAATTTACGAGCATTAATCGTTAAATGCGGGTTGCATTGAGGATCCCGCCAATTTTCTTGCATTACTTAACAACTTATTGCGTTTGCCCAACAAGCGACTGGCTTATCTTCATTCAGGCGTAATGTTCCTATGTAAATCACCATGTCTTGAAACACAAGCATTCATTAATCTCACTGTCATATACCCACCTATTTGCAATGCCTCCAAAGTTATCCACTTAGCATCCAAATTGTGTTAGCGCTCTTGTGCACTTAACAGAGACGGTCGATTTTCACGCCTGCGGCACTTAGACGAGGTAACTCCCCATGTTGGTGGCGAATGCGTGGTTGGAGTCCTATACTTTATTTACTTGAGTGGGTTTCAACGAACTAGGCATCCATATGGAGTCAAGCTGGATCTTTTCCAGTTAAGCCCCGCCAAAAAGTTAAGCCCCGCCACCCAAAAAAGATTATGAAAAGGGAGGATATGGAACGTGAACTTTTACTCTCTATTGAAGAGGGTGAAATTGAGACAAGTCATTAATAATTTGCATGAAAAGGGCCCATTTTTTCGGTGTCTTTGCCTCCAAACGAACTCACACAGGTAGCTGTCCACTAAAGATCGGTGTGTGCCGCATTGGCGCTTATTCTGCATCTTGTAAATGTGCCAGAGAGATTCGATGGTTTGTGTGTGAGCTCCAGTCGTTGGATCCACAAAGTTTTCGGTATGATTAATCGTTTGATGAGTATACTCATGCCAATCATCGATTCAATGCCTTGGTATGATGCCCACATATCGGAAATGATAATTGAGCCGGGAGCGATGCAGGCCTGGATTGTGTCCAGCAGAGTGGCCGCAGTTCGATCTGGCACTGCATACAATAACACTTCTTTAGTCTCTCCGGCAAATCCCTCCGAAAATCCACTGCTGGGGAAGGACTCGCCCTGCATGGTTTTTACGACGTGATATTAGGGTTTCATCGATCTCGACATGTAGACCTGGGCCGCCGACAATCGTGGAGTCTGCAAAAGCTGCCAGGCGCAAATTTCACGCAGAAAGTTCTTCCAGTAGACAGCGGTCGCGTGGTTAATAGATAACTCCTCTGAGCACAATTTGATTGTTGTCGGATTTTTGGACCAGCAATAAATGAATAGGATTATTGGCCTGAAATCCATCCTAGACCGCTGCAGCCAAGTTCCCTTTCGAAGACCGATTTCTTGCCGACACTGTCGGGCATCACACCTCCACCAGTCAGAAAAAGTTGAAAGTGTCATTTGGTGTCCTCGTCTGCATAAACGTTGATGATGAATCACTTCATGGCTTTGCAAAAACGTATTGCTGTTTCCTTGTCATGAACGACCGCCGAAAGCGTCAGAAAGTTCACGTCAGGTTTTATGTGAGAACGTAGAAACCTTTTGGACAAAAATAACCTTAGAAGCGGATAAGGAGTGTTTTCATGGGGCACGTTCACATGCATTACGTACACTGGAGCTGGCAAACAGTGGCGGGGCTCAACTTTTCACGCGTGCCATTTTTGCACTATTGATGGGGCTTGACTTTTCAGGTGTACCTTTTTTGCCTTAGTGGCGGGGCTTAAGTTTTTGCGCATGCTCTTTTTGCATTAGTGGCGGGACTTAACTGGAAAAGATCCGTCAATCTCAATAGGAATGTTGCCAGTTAGCATTCAAACAAAATGAGCTCATTTAATGCCTAATAGAAAATATCTTGAGTAAGGAATTAATATAATATATATATATATTCATATATTTTATATATAGCAAGCTTAATAGCTGTGGTCTGCAATAAACTACTTGCCGCAAATGTTGGCCACTCATTTCTTCTTGATCTGCTCATCATCCACGTTCTGTTCACCCCGGTGTCCATCGTAGCTTGGTTGTATCAAAAACGCCTGTTCCAACTGATATTCATTGTTAGTACGTTAGCCTATTATTTTTTTTATTTATAAAGTTAAGATTAGTCCGAGTTCATAAACAGAACAGTGCCTTGATTTCTTCGCAATCTTGGTGTTTTGCGACAAGTGTATGAATCGCACAACCATTCAGGCCAACTTATTATCGTCCATAAACATTGTCCAGTGGGTCATGTCCTATATAAAATGTTCCCGCATTGGTGTCTCGGAAGTATCCCAATCTCACCCTATCGGTGTTAGTGATTCGCCTGATGATAAATCAACCATAGTAGGCAAACCATCAGTTTTATCCAACCTTTTTTAATTCCGTTGCAGCATATCTCACCGAATCCTGGTGCCAGTCCAACGAAGAAGTCACCCCAGGTAAAAGCGCTCACCTCTTCGTTTATTTTACTAGTGAACCCACACAGCCCCGCTTTGTTGTCGGTTGTGGTGACTATAATGGTAGTAGATTTGTGCGTAAACATCCAAATAATGATTAGTTGTTTGAGCGGTTGTCGCTAGGGAAGCTTATCTTCCCCTTAGTGGCACTGTGTCCTATCTGGGCGATCGAGGTGACGCAGATCCAGCTGAACTGATTCAGCGGCGCATCTAGTTATTACTTGACACTGCATTAATGATCGCTTTGAATGTACAGACATGCAACTTATTGGAAGCAAACCGGATCACGCACCGCGATATGAAGTTGCTATTTACAGCTATTAGCTAGTGCTTATAGACGCCGGTTCGATCAAGTAACGACTTGACTGTCCACTTTAGAGAAGTAAAAATGCACTTGCAGGATTCCACTGTCGAGATTTCGTGCCATATCCGCTGCTATACCGACAATAAACATCATGTGCTATGTTTACTAGTGGATACCGGTGGGTTTGGTGCAATGTGGGTTACATATTTTGTGTTCTCAAATGTAAAGTACAAAAGTGAAATTGAATTTTCTACGCTGTGAATTACCTGGGTGCATTAGGATACTCCTTAGAGTGGCATGACGTTTGTACCCAATCCTCTACCACTAATATTCGAATAACTCACCTATTTTATACGAGATCAAGTCACGAATGTTTGCATGCAAAGCTTATATTTCTTAAAACGGATATGCTGATATCTCTGAAGCGAAATTTTATTAGCCCTTCATAGCAAATATCGTTCCCGCTATCGCGTGTGCCATAATGCCTTACCATACTAGGGCTTCCTAACACGGTCGCCGCTATATCCAATTGTTTGAGCAATCGGTATAACCGGAATATCCAACAAAACACCAGACGACTGTTTCGTTCTTTCGAGACACATCAATACTGTGCCACAATATTGTGCTACTAGGAAGGACAGCAGTCGCCTTGACAGGATAACTAGCTGTAACATGGCACAAGTTGCCCTTCATTCTTACGCATAGTGATCTGCATGTAGAACATAAGATTGACCCCTGAATCGCAATTTCCTTTGCTTAGGTTTCATGTTCCAAAAGCAATACTCAGCATGCTCGCGCAGATTCTAATTTGTCAGAATTGGTGTGGCTGCGACGAATCTGTTTCGAAAGAAATCCAAACCCCACCTTTTGTTAATCGAGCCTAATGAGATCATATTATGAAGGTCACAACTGCTCAGTTTGTACTTTCTATATGCCCAGTAATTTGGCGTATATTTAAAACCTAGCACCGGTATATTTGGGGTAGCAGGTTCGTGAATGGAGTAATGTTAAACGGAACCTTCGTCCTTTTCGTTACCGGGACCTTGTCTGAATCACCTACATAGTACTTGTTTTCCGCTCACAAGGATGCAGTATGTGATGGGTTTCAAGCATCTTTACATTCTTCAGGCAGAGATTGACGAAGTGGGATTCGATACCACTGGGTCACAAAACCTCTGTGCTATTTGATTCCGCCAGTTACGTTCCTCGCATGAGTCATGAAATTGCTGTTGCATTAGATGAATTACCGGTTTTATGGATAGTTCGTGGTTCATTGTTCGGAATCGGTAGAACCGTGAGACAGTGCAACATCACCCGCCGCGAACCTCTACTTTCTACCTGAAGAACACAAGACCAGTATAAAACTGGTAACCTTTTAAAGCATTGGCAGCAATCCAAACTTAACGTTTGCCTATTTCATCAGCTGTTATGAAAAAGCAGTTGGACACAGATACAAAGGCACCATAGCTCTCTTGTTGCAATGCTGCGATAGTAACAACAAGCACTGTATTTCAGATCGCCAATGGGGTCCTCTTGATTTGGTTTTGTTGTATAGCAGCAAGGTATTGAGAGGAATCATCAACATACTGCTTTGTAGGTGTTTACTTAGTGGTCACTTCTTGCAATTATTGCTTAACTTATCATTACCTCTTATTGCATCGGCAGTCCAGGCCACTGTTTCGTTATAGCTTCCTATGCCTGGCTTTGCTCCTCTTGCATTTCCCTTGAGCTAGGTACTCTAAACCACGGTTTTGGCCCATGGCTTGCAGACTAAGTATTCGGTTCAAAATGCAAACCCACCTTGAAAGTTTGTGTTTAGTACCTCACATTAAAGGTAAGAACATTACTGGTAAAATCGATGCAGCCTGGTGGTTTCTTATTAGTTAGACTTTAGTGCAGTTAAAGACCATATACCCAACTGGTCAAAGTGGACTTCGTACGTGTCTGACAGTTCCACGAGTGTCGTCGAAGTTTTTCACTTGATTGTCAGCAATGGATGAAGTTTGCATGAGAACAGGAAGGATTAATCTGATAACGAGATTGTATACCTCTTATCAACTTGAGATACAATCCTCATAATGAGGTGTGATGGGTGTGTACTTGGCTAGGCCGAAGATATCTCAGAGTAAACACGACAAAGTTTTCAGAGAGCAGAAATATCTAGTGCGCATCCATTGCAACTTACAAATTGTACATAATCAACGAATAAATCCTTGTCAGTTTTTCAATACTAGATACTTTTACCCGCACTTATCTCATATTGTCATAGCTTTCGCCGAATCCCTCCTCAAGCCCAATGAAGAAATCACCACAGGTACAGTGACCGGCGGTTTTTCTCATCACCATTATCAATATGTGCACTTTTCTTTCCGTTGACATTTGGTAGAGTAGACTAGGTGAGAACCTGGGGCTAAAAATCCAGAAAAATTTTGCCGCTTGTGATAAAGGGAATTGGAAAGAACGTTTGCCGTGTAGTCATCCCCAATCATACTTCGGCGGTCGACTCTTCATGTGGGGCATAGAGTTTTGAGCTATCCCCCTGGCGAAGCCAGGGCAAGGTGGGTGAGACTGAGACTGTATTTAAAAGCAAGTAGAAAGGTTTCTGTAAAACTCTATCAAATTACGAAGAATCAAAAACATTTAGTTGTGAATCATCAGCAGTTGTGCTTGGTCCGTTACTCGTTTATCCTTGTTCGGCTAGGAATTTGTGCTAGTGTCATTATTTCCGGGCATGCAATGTCTTCTTTTGGCATTGTATGTGTATCGTTCCACAAAAGCACAGTTTTCCGAAATAATCGTCGATACGGGTTTTAAAACATTTCCCATAATCAGCCTCTATTAATTCTTCGGGTAGTGTATTCCATAAGTTTACGGTTCTTCTTTCGATATAAAGCTGATGTGATACTTTGTTCAGGTTGGGGACCCTGAGTTTGTAACGGTGCCCTCCGGGGGTGTTACCGGGTTCCGTCAGGTGAAATATTGGCCGCAGTATGGGAAACTGATTTAAGTGTAGTACTCGATGAGTCATAACATGGTCAATTCTTACTCGGCGGTAGGATAGTGTGAAGAATCTGAGCCTTTCACAAGGTTTTTCATAGAGAAGCTTTTGTAGACTCGGTATCATTCTAGTTGCGATATGCTGTATTTTCTCCAGCTTTTCAGTTTCCCACTGGGTTATCGGATGGTAAGCTGGGGCACTGTATTCGTTAGTGCTCCGTATGAGTACAAGTGGGTTAGTGAGGGAGCTGGCACTCCTGGATGCGATGGTGTGCAAGTTTTGTAGTGAAGTTACTGCGGGTACGGTAGGTTCAACTGGACCACAACCTTCAATTTGTGACCTTTTTGCTCCGAAGTAAAGTACGCAAAGTGCAGTAACTTATCAGCTCAGCAAATTTGTGGTCCTGCCCTAACTCCTGTTACTAAGTTTGGTCATTGGCGTCAGTGCATTGGGCAGCGCTGCAGGATAAAATACGTCAACGTTAGAGAAAATCTTACTAAACTACTTGTCAACAGAATAGCCATAACATTTCTAACGTCGCTGTTACTAGCAATATCGGAAGGAAAGTAGGGAACATCGGATACTCTTCTCTTCAGCTTTCGCGCTATTTTTGCACAACTATCAACACAGTATCTTGTGTTGGAGATAATAAAAACTAGTGAACGTGCTTCAGTTCGCTCCTGATCGTATAAAACGAAGTCATCTAGCTATGCCACATGCAGTTCAATGCCAGGATTTTATTGTACAAAGTTTGAGATGCGTTTAAATCCAAAAATTTGAGAAACAGTGTATTGAACAAAGGGATCATTTTGATGATGCGTATTGCTCATCCTGCATACATGTATAGTACCGAAAAGCTCGTCGTAACAACATCACTGCTGTCGCATGTCAAAACAAGGCCTCCATGATTTTGAAGCATGCAGACCAAAATTTGATAGAACGTCTTCAATTAGGGATAGTGTAATTCGCCATTCGCCTATAAACCAGGATGAGTTTGCTGCGTGTGGTTTCATCCCTGTTTATATTATCACTAGATTATCTCATGACCATCTATCCAGTTCTTTATCATCCCTCTCTGATATGTGTTACCGCAAATGCAGCTAAACTGCAAGTGCTATCTGTGTGTCTACTTCCACCTATATCTCCACATCGTCAAAATTAACACCAATATCGACAACCCCATCCGTTGCCCGACCGATTTCGACGCATGCGCAAGGATCGAAGAACCCTTGCGCTCACAATAGAAGCTCGGATGCATTTGAACTCTGACAGTCAGTGCGTGTGTACCCAAGTTGCAACGTGTTTGTGTGAGGCTGAGTGGACAGAGTATGGATGACTTTGTAGTTGTCTCTGGTGTGAAGCAAGGCTGTGTCTTAGCTCCTGCCCTGTTTAATATCTATCTTCATGCAATGATGTTTTGTGCTTTTGATGCCGGTTGTGCTTACTGTGATCGTATGGAGTACCGTATTGATGGGGGTTGTCGGACATCTGTCATTTCAGTGCACGCAGTGTGCCAATTATTTGGGGTCCGAACAACTCGGGTCATTATAATGTGCGCTGTCTCTCATCGAAGTTTGTTATCCTATGGTGAACCACGGCTGTTCCAAGAGACAATGAATATTTTGTTCTCTTGTCAGCCACTCGTTTACGAAAGACCTTATGCCCTGTTCGCATATTTGCAGCTGTTCCTTGGGACGAACCATCGAAAGGCAGAATAAACTCGGAGGATTACTGTAAAAGAAACGACGTAAAATAGAGATTTGTTCACGGTGTCCTCGAATTTCAGATTCCAGGCGACTTAGATGTTTAAGTACATGAGTAAGATGAATGACGCTTCATCTGTGAAGTACTCGCTCTCACAAAAATGTTATTGTGAATCAGAAATCACGGTTGCCATCATCGCTCAATTATACGAGGGACTAAACTATCATTACAATCCAAACCCATGGTAGAAAATGCATTCTAAATATGATACAAACTTTAAAAAGGTTGCCATCTGAAACAGAAAGGAAGTCTTTGGGCAACCGACAACAAAGCAAAGAGTTAGCGCTGAGCATGCAGGTCACATATGCAACCCAGTCAGAGCGTCGACCAGGACCAGGACGCAGTCAGGTTATTCCGTCATCTGAAGGAGGTCTAGGTCCTCAGACACCCAGTAACACAGATAACCCTAGAAACCAACCCGAAATCGCCTCAGGAGCCTGTGTTGCCTGCTCAAAGAAACTACAGACAGTCAAACTCCCAAAAGTAGACATAAGCACTTACCAAAAAGCCACATACAAAATTTTTCTAAACACTGAAGTCCTCACCTGTTTTTATGCTACTGCGCCGGGTTTTCCCAATAAGTTGTCTAGGCGTCATACTCTTCAGATTTCCACGCGTTAAAATCTCGTACTGTTAACCGAAACATGGCAGAATACCGAGATCACTAATGCCGAGATGGCACTATCCGAAGCGATTCTCTACGAAGCGTTCGACACAGCACATGAGACGGGTTTATTGTGTATCGCTGATCTGACCTGCAGTTGATATCATCGACTATACAGCAACGCAAGTATTCGATTCTGTCTGATATCACGTTCACCTGAGACGTGGTGAAGTGAAATTACTAGTAGTAGTTTACCACTCTCTATATCCACCTTGGTTATTAATTACCGACTAGCTTCTACTCTGAAGCGTGTCTTGACACAGTCATACAGTTATATCCTTCTCGTGGATAACTTCAACTTGCATGCAATAACAGTCCATACCCCTCACAGTGAAAATTCTAAGTCAAAATTGCAAGTCATAATGGCTGGTGTCCATTGTTACAGGATTTATAACGGATGACGAACTAGATTACTATGTCTTGTTTTCAGTAATGAGGAAAGAAGGGTTGATACGGTAAACATACATGCTTTGGCCGCAGTGATCAAGTGACGCTGATATTTCGTCACATCTGCTAAGCGGAATACGACTGTAAACACAATGAGGAAGCCAAGGCTGTAACCCACTACAACGTTATGTCCGGTCTCATCCAATAAACCAATTGGTCCTTCCCAGCTGAGCAGCCTTCCGATGTCGCCTAAATGGAGTTCGTCACCCAGTTTACCAGACTAGTGGCATATCACTTCCAACTCAAATCAATTTGGTCCCCATATTTACGCTTTTCAAATGACTCGTTATAAACACTCTATCTCATTCATATTACGTACTAAATCCCTTTTTGATCGGAAGGTGTTATAACCTAAACCAAATAGTGTGCTACCCAGCCTTCGGCGTGAAGTGACTGTGAGAGGTCCATCATATGAGTTCATGTGGATAACTTTGCGAATCAAAATAAATCCGTAGTTACACCTATTTCTTGTTATTTTTAGTCTCCATGGTATAATACTCAACCCAGTCATCCTACGGGGCTTGCCAAGCATGCGCCTTTTTCCTTCGATGTTAATCGTCATTCATTGTTTTTTGCAGCACATTTCACCAATTCCACCAGCAAGCCCAATGAAGAAGTCACCACAAGTAAGACGGCAAACCTTCCATAGCCTACGCACTGAATAACCGATGCAGTTGCCTTAGAGATTAGTATGGAAATTTGCGACATTTCAGTGAGCTTCTTCTAAGAAAGCGCTTCCCTGAATGTCGGGAAGCTCACTGGTTTTGTCTAAATGCTACAACACTTTTCGAAACGGTTGATAATGATTTCGCGTTTTCACGCAATTGCAAGGAATGGGAGGGTATTCACTACAGGTAGTGTATTTTTGTTTAAACGCAGCTATTTAACCTATCACTCACTTGACAATCAAAGTTCACAGGCGACTCGATTAGTAGGAAAATCTCAAATTAAGTACAGTCAGTTACTCATATTAATGGATCGAAATTTAAGCTTGGAAATGAAGGTGTTATAACTAAGTTGATGCTAAATTTTGTAGTGGCACTGCAATTCAGATCTACAAAAATATGCACACTTAATTTGTAGAAGGCCTGTTAAACATACTAAACCTGGTTTAGGCCGCAAATCGTTTGCAAACCTTGAGCTCATGCGTTTTCACCGGAATTATCGAGAAGAAAAACGGAACTGTAAACCGGTACTATTGGCATACAATTAAAGACAGTAAATCTACCTCAATAGTGTGAGATTCTAGCGTAGTCGCTTCAGCAACGGCAACAGTACAAAAGTCTGACAAAGTACAATGTAAAATATGTGACTTAAATTCACGACAACAGTGCAAGCTGGTCAGGTAACACATGCAGTGCGAGGTAATGTGTGCACATTGGATAGATATCGTAAAGACTTCAGAGTGCAAATGATAACACGTCAGGAGTGACTATGTACAGCGGAAGTGGAGTTTGTAATAAATTAGAAAAATAGATCAGACGTGTGTTTATGTGAATGTAAGTCAAGTTCAAGTTTAATTAGGACTGGAACCAAAGAATAAATCGCTTCAGCCTTCCTTCTTGAGTTGGAGTCGATTTGATCAACGGAAATGATAAGGTGCTCAAACGACCGATTTCTTGATGAAACCTAAATCGGAAAAGGGAGCAGCCAAACGCAATAGCCGGTGGGGCGTTTAGACCAGATTAAGTTGCCCCGACGTTTCGCTGGCAATGGGACAGCGCCCTGGGGCTGTGGCGCTCCCAAACAAGGGCGAGAATAAGCTTATGAAGAAGAAAAGGGAGGGAGGGGTAATTAGGGGGAGATGGGGGATGCTCTCCTTTGATATGAGGAGGGGTATGATTTTAATGAGTAGTCAGTGAGTGAAAGAGTACAGGAATGGGTTTGGGTTTGGGTGGGTTGAATAGTAAGACGTGGTTTAAGTATATAAATGTATAAATATTAGGGTTGTCTGGTTATAATTGTTGGATGGGTAGTGTTTTGAATTTTGGTTTTATGGTTAGGAGTATTTGGGGTTATGTGTGAAGGTTAGTTTGGAATATATGTTAGATGAGGGTGTGAGTAATGGGGTGGGGTGATAGGTTGGTATTATATGGAAATGGGGTTGTGTAGTTTGGGGTGGGTGGGGGGGGAGGAGGGTTAAGGAGTGGTGGGGGGGTGGGGGGGTGGGGGGATTGGGGGGGGGTTGGGAGGGGGGGGGGGGGGGCGGGTTGGGGGGGGGGGGGTGGGGGGGTGGGGGGGGGGGGGGGTGGGGGTGGGGGGGGGGGGGTGGGGGGGGGGGGGGGGGGGGGGGGGGGGGGGGGGGGGGGGGGGTGGGGGGGGGGGGGGGGGGGGGGGGGGGGGGGGGGGGGGGGGGGGGGGGGGGGGGGGGGGGGGGGGGGGGGGGGGGGGGGGGGGGGGGGGGGGGGGGGGGGGGGGGGGGGGGGGGGGGGGGGGGGGGGGGGGGGGGGGGGGGGGGGGGGGGGGGGGGGGGGGGGGGGGGGGGGGGGGGGGGGGGGGGGGGGGGGGGGGGGGGGGGGGGGGGGGGGGGGGGGGGGGGGGGGGGGGGGGGGGGGGGGGGGGGGGGGGGGGGGGGGGGGGGGGGGGGGGGGGGGGGGGGGGGGGGGGGGGGGGGGGGGGGGGGGGGGGGGGGGGGGGGGGGGGGGGGGGGGGGGGGGGGGGGGGGGGGGGGGGGGGGGGGGGGGGGGGGGGGGGGGGGGGGGGGGGGGGGGGGGGGGGGGGGGGGGGGGGGGGGGGGGGGGGGGGGGGGGGGGGGGGGGGGGGGGGGGGGGGGGGGGGGGGGGGGGGGGGGGGGGGGGGGGGGGGGGGGGGGGGGGGGGGGGGGGGGGGGGGGGGGGGGGGGGGGGGGGGGGGGGGGGGGGGGGGGGGGGGGGGGGGGGGGGGGGGGGGGGGGGGGGGGGGGGGGGGGGGGGGGGGGGGGGGGGTAGGGGGGGGGGGTTGATTGGTTGTGGGGTTTTATGTGGTTTGTGAGGGGGGATGGGGTTGGGATGGGTTGTTGTTGGGGAGGGTGGGGGGATTTGGGGGGGGGGAATTGGATAGGTGGGGTTGAATTTTGATATAGTATAGTGTGGGAATGGGGGGGGGGGTGGGAAGATGAAATGGAGGGATATGGAGTAGTTTATTTTGATGTGGGAGAGTTAATGGATTTTTTGTTAGAAGTTGGGTGAGTAATGATGAAAGGAAAACAAGTTTGGTTTGAGACAAGCAAAAGAGTTGGGGTAAATATGAGAGGAATCACAGCCAAGCAGCCAGTTGAATCCGTAATGGCGTTCGAACCCATAGTATCCAGCGACCATTCCACCACCTCATCCATTCTGCGTTTGCCGTCTTTGAGAACTTTGACGTTACCAATTCGTTAGGTTTGGAAAACCAACTGGGATCGATTGCCGTCTACTCCTGAACGCGTGGAATGGTCAATTCCCCGGAATGATAGAATCGAAGCTCGTTGCGAGATGTTGAAAGGAAACAGTAGCCAACTATTCAACCAATTCACACCAATCACACCAATTAATTCTCGGAAGAGGCCATCATGGCTTCATAGGGAATACGCTGTACTATTGAGGGTTTGCGCAAAAGTATAGAGGCTCTGAAGACACACTAATAGCGCAGATGATTACGCTGCTTATAAAACATAACGGGACAGCTCTAACTCAATGAAATTACGGAAGCACACAGCTTACGAGACATGCTTATCAATAAGTGCGAAAGAAACGTCCAAGAAGCTTTTGTGTATGTTTAATCCAGGTTTAGATCACCTGATGAATTGCTTGCTTTGGAAACTTCATTGATTGAGCTATTAACCACCGACGCAGGCCGGGCTGTGGCATTTGCTTCTCATTTCCGGTCAGTTTTCAAAGCATCCACCCCAACACTTGAATACGATTCAGTCAATGTCAAACTGGATACCGTAGCATACTCCGTAGAGAAAGTTATGAACCTGCTAACAAATCTAAATTGCCGCAAACCGCCTAGACCAGATGACCTACATTCAGTGCTTCTTAAAACATTGGCATTTATCAATACGCCAACAGTAATAGAATGGTTTAATACATCTTTGGCATTAGGAACCGTCCCACGAGATTGTAAACAAGCAATCGTGTGACCGTTGCATGAAGGTGGTGATAGAAGCAAAGCAGAAAACTAAAGGTCGATTTGTTAAGACCAATATTAGTCAAACTACTAGAAAAATTTGTCGAAACGGCGCTGCTTTAATTTGAGGAATCACAAAGTGTACTCACGGAAGTCCGGAATGGCTTCCTGTGGGGACGGCCGTGTGCCACTAACCTCCTAACTTCACTGCACAGCTAGATTGAAGCAGCCAACGAATGGAAAAATAATATTGATGCCACTGCTGATAGACTTCGGCAAAGCATTATATAAAGTGAATCACAGCTTCCTACAATCCAAACTTTGTTGTTACAGTGTGGGTGCGATGGATTCAATTCGTCTTGTACGAGCTACACCGGCGCGGTCTGGTCAGTAACCATGGAACACGATGGTTGAGTGCGTATAGTGGTATGCCGCATGGGAATGTATTTGGCCAAACATCGCTTTTATTTCACCTCATTGATCTGCCGTGACATTTGAAATCTACGTTCGTGCTATTCGCCGATGATTTAATGGTTGTGGACAGTGATGTAGTCACCCGTCGATCCGCGTTTACTACAATTTGATGACGAAAATCCTCATGGGCGTCATCCAACTACCTGCCGTTGAACCCTGGTAAGTCAGAGCTAATCAGCGTAAGCAAAGTCCCTCGTGAAGCAATGTACATTATCGGTGATCGACGGCTATACCCAGTTACAACGGTAAAAGATCTCGGAGCTTTATCCCGGTGGGATTTGAAATCTGTGGACAATACGCACCAAGTTTACTGTTCCAGCATCCGCTTGCTTGATTGTTGAAACGGACATTCTATGTCTGGTCAGAGGACAATGATATCAGGCTGCATGTCGCATTGATACGCTTGCTATTGTAAAAGGGTGGTTGTATCGCTACCGGTCAAATGGCTACCAAATAATTAACAAGATTTTTCATGTGTCTTAAGGGCTGGTAACTTTCAGACCATTCGGTGATTTGCGAAATTTCCCCACTTAGTACAACTAAAGTCTCACGCACTTACTTTTCTCAAGCTTCACTTCGTTCTACCTTTGTTTATATGACCTCTAGGCAAGCCTAGGCAGAACATCCAGCTTGCTTTCTCAGAAAGGAAGCAGTCAAGGATCGGGAAAAGCACCTCCACATGTAAGTCGGATCGTAATTAAGTGCACCTTTACACATGTTGTTTGTTTCGAATTGAGATCAGACCATAGTAATTAGTTCTTCTTCGGTGATGCTCTTTTGGCTAATGAAGTTGGCGTTGTTACTTCTTAGTGAAATCAAAGCAAGTGCGGAGCTATGAGGTTTAACTTATAGTAGGTAAGCAAGCAGCAATATGTGCTGAGTTCGAGTTGGGTGTTTGACAAAACAGGGAGCGTATGGGCCAATGCGCACGTATTGACGCACACCCACATCCACCCACCCACACACACACAAATTCGCATGCGCTGTGTAGTCGGCAGAGATAAAGCGTAGGCGACCAGCTGAGATGAATCAGGTATCCATATCGAGTCGCGTTCACTGTGCAGACGCCCCTGGGTAACCCTAACAGTCGGAACACCCGAACCAATTCAGCAGTGAAGCGAAGATATGTTTTCGTTACACCGTTGAGACTAAAACATGTTAGGAAAAGGTTGACAGAAAGTGTTCGCGTTGACTGTTGGCCCGTACGATTGGGAGCGACATAAGAAGTAGGAATAAGAGTGAATGTGAACAAGTTAGATGCAAGAAACACTTACCGTATGTGATCTAAACACCAGATTGTGGCAGCTACTAAGAGACGATGACGGCTGTGGTGACTAAGTTAAGGATGCACTTTACCATGAACTCGTTCGCATTCCTGGTAAAGTGACTGCGTTTCTTGCCAGTGGTAGACTTGGGATCAGTTACCCTTAACTCCCGTTCTAGAATTTCCCGGGATATTATGCGACACAAACTCATGAGAAATTCAACGCCTCAGTAGATGATATCTCAGAAGGGCACAACAAGCGGAATTGCCTAGACACAATGTACATTCATGGAGTGCCAGATCTCCCTTCGCACGACAATCAAGATATCGGGAACCACAATTTAGAACAGCCACGGTTCTTCAGGGGGAATATTTTTATTGAATATTGCTGTTGCTCAATCGCTCAAAAGCTACCTCTCTCACCAAAATGTAAAGTTTACGGTAGAAAAATCCCCAAACCTACAATTTAATGACGTTTTCGAGGGTACCGAAAATATCTTTAATCTGAATTTTGATTAAAAGCTGCGGAAGCCTTGTGGAGACCAGATATGAGCTTATCGGAAAAAACAAACCTACCGGCGATTACACAGATTCCTCACTTTACCACGCGTTCACACCAACTCAAGTTGCCGACGATGTGTCATTATTCCATTAAAAAAACCACTAACAACTAACCTCACATCCGTCGGCATTCTTCAACACCTGAAACTTGTAGCCCATTCATGAACTGCTAGAGAACAAGAAAGTATTCTGCCTTTATCAGTACTCAAGGGCTATTCGATCACTTGATCGAACTGAAATGTTGCCGGGTTACTAACCCAATTCGATATCATCGGTGTCACTAAGACATGGTTACATGCTGGAATTAAGAACATTGACTTCTGGCTGCCTGGCATGTCATCCATCAGAAACGACAGATGTACAAAACGAGAAGGGTCAATTTGTTATTACTGAAGCTAGCTCCAGTGCGAGGCCGTTAACAATTCAGACTCGCAGTTCCCCGATTCACTTCGGTGCCACCTGCAAGTACATGGCAGTGACACCTGTCTTGTCACTTTGGTGTACCGCCCACAAACCCTACACACAAAATGGACGGCCACCGTGCGAGAGCTTTAGGATGCAACCTAAATGGAAAAACACTCCGATCCTTTATCACGGGTAAATTCTAGGTGCATTGTTTAGAAACCCTAGGTAAATTAGAAGAACCTTTGAAAACAGCTGTGGAAGCTCCAAAACTGGGTTCCGCTTTGCAATCACATAATACTGCGCACTAGTTTCGGAACAGGTAATTGACCATCTTTGCTGTACCTTGTGTTCACCAGCGAGAAACACGATTGATGTACTGGTTGGGTTGTAGTGATCAAGCAGTCATTAGTTTTGACTTCAGCTGCTATGCAGAATATCGCCACCAAAACACTGTGTTGATGCACCATTACGCTTTACATCTTAACCCAGCTCGTCAGTGACACAACTGGTCGTTCCTCGCTGAAGGCCACTTGGAAGACGCTTGCCTTGAAATTACCAGCAAATTCTATCAGCTAGTCTCGGATGTCTCAGGGACACTAGTTTTCAGTGGGCTTAAAACTGTTATTTTTTCGTAAGCAGAGGAACTAGAAACTGGATTACTGTATGCATCGTAGGCTTGTGAGAGTATAGATCATCAACTATGCCAAAACCTTGGAACAACTGCCTTGTTCATCGTAACCACTGCACCCAACTGCTCAGAGATAACAAAGTAGTGTTTCAGCAGAATGTGGCGAAAACTTTCCGCGCTAACCACAAACTGCTGTAGAATATCTCGGTGGCCATCGTAAGCTGAGGCAGGGAATTTCTCCACTTCAGACGACTGATGGTCCAAGTAGGACGGTCATAGAAGCAGCAAACGCGTTGCGGACGCAATATGTTCCTGCAATTCAGGGGTTTTATCATGAATCGAGCTTACACTTTTTGTTTCTTCGCCGCCGGGACTCGACTACCATTCTTTTACCGATGTAGCTGTCTTGCCACAGCGGACGCCTTTGCGCAACCACAGCTTTCCGGGAATAGACACGATTCGTTCAGATGCACTGGGAGCAGCAAGAAGATGTGGCAAAACTTTGGCTCCATTCTTCCCGCACTGCTTAGACCAGAACCAGGTCTTTGC